AGCAAGGCTGTCAACTTGAGAAGTGTGCCAACTGATTCCAGGATGGAAAATGGATTTTTGGTGAGCAAAAGAGGTAAGCTTAGTTCTGGACTGCAATGGTGTATTAACTTTAAGAAGTTTCATATGCAGGCAATAGATTCCACATTCTAAACAGCCTCTTGGACTCTACTCCCAAGTGTGGCACGCTCAGAAAGTTTTTTTAGTACTTGCAAGCAGTTGAAGGAAATGACAATGGGTGTGTGTGTGGAGATGAAGCTGATGCATTTGTTGTGAGCAACCTCGTGGATATGTGGAAGCACTAGAAGTGTTTGGGAGGATGAAGATTTATGACATTGGTTGTATGGAATATGGTCATCATGGGACATGCACCTTGAGCTCTTCTATCGGATGTAATGAGATATTGGAAGCACTTAGACATTGCATGAAGCAGAATAACATTATTTCATGGGATACACTGAGAATACACCTCAAAATGTCTACCTTTTGCTCTCAAGCTCTACAAGCAAGTTGGCAGCTAAACACTTAGGCTTAGTAGCAAAGGTGGATATTTTGAAAGAATTTGGATAAAAATCTGCTATTTGTGTGCTTATTGATGAAGAGATAAATGTTTTATTTTGTATATTTTCTTAGGCAAAAGAAAAGAAAGAAGCTTAGGCAAAATGAAGTTATGTTCAATTTTAAACATCCAAAGAAGAAAAACCTAATCTAGGCAACATTTGTCATAAATAAGCATAAAGTAGTTAGGAATAATTATAAAATAATGTAGTATATAAGTAGCACTTAGATGTGCTGGAAAATAACCCCCACTCATTATTGTATGCATTTGTATTGAATTAACCATCTTTTCTCTTGACTATAATTGTTTGTGCAAAGTAAAGTTGAGAGATAGATATATATATATATATATATATATATATATATATATATATATATATATATATATATATATATATATATATATATATATATATTTATTCTTACTCATGCCTTTGGGGTTTAAAATTGAATTCTCTTCTATTCTCTTCTCGTTTTTTTTTTTTTTCCCTATGTTCTTGTCTCTGTTTGTTTGTCATTATTTTGTAGATAACCTACTCACTATCCCTACTATATATTTAAAACCCTCTACAACTCCATAAAATACTTTGGCTATCACAATATAAACAAAATATTCACACCACTCAACCTTTTTAAGAATGAGAGTATAGGCAAAAACAATTTATTCACTTATTAGATTATATTTGAAGTGTGGAGACATGGCTACTGATTGAGAAGTTTAAGTGCGTCACTGTCACAATGACACACTTTTGCATAAATTTGATCCTCATCCAAATAAATGCAAAAGGGTATAATAGTGACATCCTTATTCCCATTGTTACCTCTCCTTAAACCACTATGGTCTAGCTTTAATCTAATGGAAAATGCTACCACCACCTTGCTAGTGCCTCAAGATTATCTTGAATTTGATTCTGCCCACTTTGTTGATACAATTGGTATTACGAGTGTATAAGAAAGCCACTAGAAAGAGGTTGTGTTTGGCCCTCAAGTTTTGCTTTGGGAGTGCTCTTGTCTTCTTCTTTTGGAGCAATTGATTCATGCCCATGGCAAAAAACTCTCCTGAATCAGATTTAATGGTGATGGATTCTACTTCCAATTTGTTGGTGTTTTTGTGCAAAGAGGGAAGAGTCCACAAGCTCCACATGAAAGATTTTTGGGGCAGCTTGGACATGAGATGATTGGTAGTTTCTTATAGGTGGGGCAATTGAGTGGCATTGCTATATTGAAGTGTGAGAGATCAAGTATAGATAAAAATAAGGAGGGAAACTAGTTTTTTGCTTTAACTTTAGTTTTGGAATATGGATGAGGTTTCTTTTGTTATGTGTGTTTTTAGAGGTTCTATATCCAATTCAAGCCATACATTGAGTTTATTCACCTCCTTGATGTCATTTTGAACCTTTAATTTGGCTTTTGTTTTAAAATGACATTATCAACCATACCTTAAAAGAACAATACCAATGAAATTAACAAGCCCTAAATCACTAAACCATGAAATATTTTTAGAATATTCTTATGGTTTTTGTTTTAGATTTTGGTAATTTCATTAAGGATTTTTAAGTGATTTAACAAAGGTTTTTTATGCTTTATTAGTGAAGAAGTTTGAAAAGGTTGATCTTGCGAACTAAGATCATGCAAGGGATTTTGTCTTTGAATGTGTATGTTCATTAAGTTCTGTGATCTATTTACTTTAATTTCACAAATACATATAATGAGTTTCTAAAGATGCAATATTTTATCAATAGTTTGAGTTTGGTGGATATATAGCAAAAAGTCAAGAAAGACTTGTTATCAAAATTGATTGATGCTATCACTAAAGTAACTCAGTCAATTATGGTCAATAGAATGATTAATAGAGTAGACAACCAATAGCCAATACTTCATATTTAGGGAAGAAATGATTTTTATTGCATCAAATCTCAAAGAATGAAGATGATAATAAGGTTAAAAACCTTTGTTTGGGTGGAGGGCAAATATTTAAATTTTTACAAAGCTGAATATTATAGAAAAGGTTGTTCTTTTGTGAAGGGTTAGGGGATGTTAAGGTGAATATAATGGAATCCATTATGGATACAGCTCAAAAGTATTTTTATAGTGGCTTTTTCATATTTTGTGATGAAAGTTCAAGTTTTTATAAAGTTTAATGGTTTTATGCACAATAAACTTGTGAAAGGCAATGGGGATATTTAAGGTAGTGAAGCTACTTTTTGATCTAGATGTTACACAATCTTTTGAACTTTAGGGTGGTGAAGAAATTAGTTTGTCTATGGAATGATAAAACCACTTGGTTTGCTTATGGTGTGACAAGACCACATCTTTTCTTTCAAAAAATAGAAAATGGTTTATAATAGCTTTATTTTTAGACTTAACTTGTCTAAATAGTAAATTTTTATTTGCACTATATTTAATCTAATTTAAGAAAAGTTTATGAGAGAATACAATAATGACTATTTGAACTAATAAACTAATCCCTAGAATTTTGATTCATCCACATATAATCATATATAGGAAGGATTCACTAGTGTCATATTAAACAGCTATAGACCAACTTATTTACCACTCATAACAAGCCTATAGGAGATTTATTTTTATCTATGGTACTATGGTAATAACTCATCTTATCAAAGCTAATATTAATCTTGTCAACTCATGAAATTGCTAATGTGCCCACTACATCTCAATAAGTCCAAGTGAAACTTATACAATATGGTCTTATACAAGTGACATAGATTGCACAGTGCGAGTTGGATCCTCCCCAAAGTCATCGTCGTCAATGGAGTTCCATGGGTATGAACCACACTAGACACATACCTGAAGTGGGACTTCACCAGCGTCTACAGGTGCCTAAGAAGTAGTGAGGATTAAAAGGACCAGAGTGAGGTGAATAATGCATTGCATTCATGTAGTATTACAGTCCCATGTTAGTTGGGCAGAAAAAAGCAAATGAGTGATGGACACTGCATAGGAGCTTGAGAGAGATCCACAAAACAGCTCCCCAAAAGAAGTTCTTCCAGCAAATCATGAAATAATCTGCAATAAAAACTGCCTTTCCAATACCAGGCAAGCATCCAGGCTTGCTTACTCAAAAGCTTTCTCTTGGGAAAGAGAAAGTGAATGTATGCTACTTGATAAAATAATTAAATATTTAGAATTAAAGCGTTGGTTAGAGCACCCGTGGGAGGTCCTTAGTTCAAGTCTTAGAGAAAGCAAGCACCTTTTAGCAAGCCACCAGCTTGATGATCTCTGGTTTGCGCATCTCCTCAAAGATTTCCCAGGCTCGGCTGCAAGCGATTTGCTACGATAGGTACGGCTTTAGTTTATGTGCAAGTTCCAGCAATCATAAGCTGGATCCAATAAACTCCTAAATTTGGACTTCCCGGGAGGTTACATAACCCAGTATTATTCAAACTCAAGGACGCTAAATATCCCAAAACCCTTAATTGATTAGAAAAGGGGGTGCACTATTATTCATGGGCTTTTCCCTTTATATTTGAACCTTATGGATCATCTCTCAAGTAGTTCTTTTTGGTTGTTTAATCTCTATCATGCTTCCTTGCAAGTTCACGCCTTTGTGAACGGAAACTCAGCAAGAGCAAACTAGACCAGCCAGATGTCAATTAACATGTGGTGTGATTTCCTTATCCAACCAACAAAGTCGAAAGCAAACTGGACCAACCAGATGTCAATCAACATGTGGTGTGATTCCCTTAGACAACCAACAAAGTCGAACCTAAAACCGCTTTAATACCAAATGTAAGCTTCTGAATTTAGACTTCCCAGCCAAATGTCAATTAACATATGGTGTGATTCCCTTAGCCAACCAACAAAGTCAAACCCGAAATCGCTCTAATACCAAATGTAAGCTCATGAATTTAGACTTCTCGGGAGGTTACCCAATCTAGTATTATTCAAATCCAAGATCCAAATATCCGAAAACCCTTAACCAATTAAAAAAAGGGGTGCACTAGGCCCTTTCTTTCTATATTTGAATCTTATGGACTATCTTTCAAGGTGTTCTCTTTGGTTGTTTATAGACAAGCTCATGATCAGGGGATCAAAGGGAATCCTTTTTTCTTTGTTTCACCAGTCAATTCTTCACTAATCAATCAAGTGGTAAGACACCAAGCTGACTCTAGCTTGCAATGCAAGAGAGGACATAAAACATAATGCCTGCCACCTTGGGATCCAAACTCAAGCCATACAAAAACATATAAAATAAAGTGGTGGGTTAAAACAGCCCTAATTAAGTTCTTAATTATTAAAATTTTCATATACATCTCTACAGTTTATAATTACTTGGATAGAGGCATCAAGAGGGTAAATTTGTGAACAAATTCGTTCATCCATCTCCAGGCCATGCTGGGTTCATCGAATGAAAAAAATTCCTATACCTATCAACAAAAACTGAATGTGGAGAACTCGAACAACAAGCCTAATTCTAAGGCATAATGGAGTGTCTCATGGCAAAGCTTGTCCCTCGCCTTGAGTTGCCTCTTCTTCCAAATAACATCCCCTCTGCTTGCCACTGGGATTCTTCTTCTCTCAGCCAAGAGCTCGATCAATGGCTCATCTCCAAGCTCGGTATCACCGACGAGAGTGCCAAGAGGAAGATTGTCCAGTCGAGAGTCATGCTCTTAGCTTGTTTGATGCATCCCAATGGCGAGAGGGACAGAGTCCTCTTGGCAGGGAAGCATTTGTGGGTGTACTTCCTGGTGGATGACATCCTCGAGTCAAGCAGCCGGGAAGGTTATGGCGCCCTCAAATCCATCGTCTGGAGCATTGCCACCACTGGAATCTACAAAGCATCTGAGGAGCATGATCATCATGACCTCGTGCTGCTTCTCTTGGTGGAAGTCATGGTGGAACTCCGCAAGGAAATGCCCACTTCTTTATTCGCTCGCTACTGCAAGATCCTCTCAATCTATCTGGATAGCGTCCAGGAGGAGGTCAAGCACCAAATCAATAACACGATCCCGAGCAGCGAGGAGTACCGGCTTCTCCGCCGCCGCACTGGATTCATGGAGGTGATGGCCTGCATCATGACTGAATTTTGCGTGGGAATCAACCTCGAGGAATTGGTTGTAAACTTGGGAGAGATCCGTGAGCTCGTCAAGATCATGGACGACCACATTGTCACGGTGAACGACCTCTTGTCACTGCGCAAGGAGTATTACAATGGCACCATTTACCACAACTGGGTAATTGTTTTGCTTGCCCATGATTGTGCAACTTTTCAGAAGAGTGTGGATCGCGTTTGTGAGATGATCAAGCAGGAGGAGGACTCGATTCTAGATTTGCAGAAGAAACTTATCATCAAGGCAAAGGTGGACAAGAACCCAGAGCTTCTCAAATTTGCATTTAATGTTCCAATGGCTGTGGCTGGTCATCTAAAGTGGGCTTTTATTACTGCTCGTTACCATGGTTGTGACAACGCTTTGCTCGATGGTGAGTTGTTTCATGGAACTTGGATCATGGACCCCAATCAAACGGTAATCGTGAAAAACATGTAGTTCTTATTGTGGAAAATTGCTAATATGTAATAAATTATGCTCATGGAAAGAGCAGATAATTTCTCTTTTTCTTCTGAAAAGATAAAATAAATAATGATAAGAAAATGATCTCTGAGCTCAAAGTGGTCCGGGTCATCTCAAGGTTTTAGAGTCACAGTATGCAGCTCACAATTGAGAAAACTACGCATTGCTCACGGAAATCAAACCCAAACAATGAAACAAAGGAAGGAATGGATATTACCTTGAGCGTGGCGCCTTATCACTGATGACAAAGGGTCCGGTTTCATCACGCTTACTTATTAGGTTTTTCAAGAAGGCGGAATGAGAAACAACCGCAATGTTCTTCTCTTTGCGACACAGGAGCCTTGAAAACCAAGTAGATTGTTGATGTGAGAGAGAGAGAGAGAGAGAGATTTTACTTTACCATTGTAAGAAAGCCCGCCTTCTTCCTTCCAGGGAATCTTTCAATTCACGGACGTTGGGATGCCACAGCACGTCTTCGTCCTCTTTGATCTGTGCTGTGCGATTATCAAACCTCCAGAATAAAAAGAAAGAAACAGATGATCCTCACACCTGAGTAAAATCAACCATTGGAAATTGGATCTTGCAGGTGCTGATTGGGCTCCTCTTGTTGGACTCATAAGGCGTCTGGCAAAGAGATTTAATACAGGAATTGGAAGAGAAAACACAAAATTAGAGAAGTAAAGCTGGAACATACAATGAGCTCCCTGCATAGCTCCAAGGCAATGAGAGGTGGATTGAAACAAGAAGAGGACGATGCAACACCATTCAATGACAGGAATGGTGGCTCTGTCTCTACTCCAAACACTCCAACAGCCGTTTGCAATGCCCTTTAAATAAAATTGTATGAACAATTCTGAAAGCCTACAATGCAAAACGTGTACCGTCTCAAGGGAGAAACCACAACCAGCTCGATGTCACGGATTAGACCAGTCACTTCTACAAGCTTCCGAAGCTGCTCCACCTTCAAGAAAGCATGGATCACATACAAAACTTTAATGTAAGCTACTTGTTTCCAGCCATTGGGTTTGAGGCTGGGGTCGAAGATGCGATGTCCTGCGTGAAATCCGGGCCCAGCATTGTGATCGGCCTCGGCATGGCGCACCTAAATTATAAATATACACGAAGAAAGCGTGAGCTTGCCCCTGGCGAGATTACGTTACCAAGTGGATCAGCTTCAATGGCGCGGCAATGCTAGCCATCCAAGCCCTAGAAAATGAAAGTGGTCTATGGAAATAACAAACTTTAAAAAATATATTTTAGCAAACAAGTTTAAGAATTCTAGTACAAGTAGATGTTTAACAGAACTAGAGGATGCAATCTTACCAAAGATTGTCCCTCGTTCTTCTCCTAAACACCATCGCCTCCACGGATTCCTCCTCTCTCAGCCAAGAGCAGCTCGGCATCACCCACGAGAGCGCCAAGAAGAAGATCGTCGAGTTGGGAGTCATGTTCTTTGCATCAGAAAGGCAAGAGACTGGACGAGTGGCAATGGTGGACGACATCCTCAGGAAGGCTATGGCGGCCTCAAATCCATGACCACCATCCAACGATCATCTCGTGCTGTTCTACCAGGAAGGCCAGGAAGTCATGGCGCAGCTCCGCAAGGAAATGCAAAGTTTTTTATTGCAAGATCCTCTCAAGCTTTCTGAGGCAAGCACCAGATGAAGAACACCGGTCACGAGCAGTGCTTCTCTGCCGCCACAATGGATTCATGGGCTGGGGTGCGTTACAATACAAAGAAGTGGTTTTACTACTTTATAATTTTCATTTTAGAACCAAAGACACTGTCAATCCATTCAAAATGCCAAGCTCTCCAGGTCAAGGCACAAAAACCATCGATGGATCTTCTTGAATCATATACATAAACCACATCTGATTGTAAAAAGCAAATCCAGTGGTGGACATGTGCATGGCCAGGGCAACTCTCAGCCTTTTGCAAACGACACCAGCGTCCAAGCCGTATCGCTGAGCTTGGTTTGAAAGGTGGCCTTTAGAGCTCCAGTGAGAGGATTCAAAACAACGTACTCCCCAACAGTGCTTGTCCGGAATTGGATAAATGGTCAGGATGGAGAGGTTGCGGAACTTGGCTTGCAAAGGAAAAGAAATTAAGCTTGCTAGATAATTTCAAACTCGGGACAATAGGTAAGATTTCGAAGAGAGATCGGAATCAAAATCGATACAAAGCTCCATTGCCGGGATTTGAACCCTGAAAGCCAGGTATCCTTACCGGACTAGACGACAATGGATCAACAATACTTTCTTGCTTTAGTAAGAGTTGAACCGGGGCTCCGTTTAAACCTCCGTGTGATTTTTCTCTTTCCTGCGTGGCTTGTGCTTATGGCCCTCATAGCAGAGATGGCATTGCGGCGGCAATCGATTGATTGGCGATGGAGCGTCTGGGCTAGGTTCTAGATTGGATTGACAGGATTTCCAGTACAGTGCTGGGAATACTGTCCAAGCGCGAGTGTGTCCGGAGCTTTATGGGATTTTGCGAGCCGATTCTAGAGCAATTAGATGCTGGCCAGGCCGGGGAATTGCCAGTGGCGCTGGCGACCACGCTGGTTAGCAGGGCCGATTCGGTTCTAGAGGGGAGGCAACGAGGCAATCAAGGAGCTCCTGCATGTCATGCACACGGGTTTGCAGATCATCCCGAGACGCTCTCCCTCGCGCTGACCAAAACCATGGAGGACTTGACCCAGAGTTTTTGGGATGGATCACTTTGCTAAACTGTGGGGATTGTCATAGCTTAAGCGGAGGCAGATGCAACACGCTAGATTCTACGTATAATTTTTTTTTCTCCATCTTCTTCGGTTTGTTGACTTCGAGCTATGGACCTTGTCTCTGTCTAGGTTACTGATGCCGAGAAATGCTCTCTTGACGCTCTAGAAAAAGAGGTGCACATCTCTCGACATCTGGCTCCGATCGAGACTACTTACTTGCCTAGACAATCGGTGAACCTATGGAGGTTTCGCGACTGAGTTGATCGGCAAGACCACACAAACAATCTGATCTTACATGGCTCTAGAAGTTCCACGAGCTTTGGCTCCCGCTCCAAGATCAGGGGCGTCCTCTTTATGCAGTTGCTCCATCAACATCTCTCCACCATTGTTGCAATCGAGAGAATTCTTCAAAGGCTGAAGGTTTGGGAGCAAATAGTGTAGTCCAAGAGAAAGAAAATTTATATTAAAACTTTCAAGAGGAAAATCAAAGAAGGTTACCTACAGCACCTGATCTTTTGTGGAAGTAGAGAGCTAGTCACTGAGACCAAGTTGGCCTCTCTTGGACAATCCCCAAACCATTCTGGGGAGTAGTTATTCTACCACATAGAGATACAGCAATTAAGACCACCTTAACACTTTTCTTAACTTTTAGATACAGATATATTACAGAAAGAAGAGATAAAAAATTTAAATGTAAAAGAGAAAATATATAAATGATCCAATAACTATTATACGATATTATATATTAGGTGATTCACTC